TCTCCTTCCTCTGAAGCCTGTAAATGCCTCAAGAACAGAGACCGCATTCCTCGTTGGCCATAAAGCCCTGCCAGGCTTGCTAAGAACTGTGCGGGTGTTCAGATGTATGCACTACTAATTAGTGCTCCTGGGAAATTGGGGTTGTTCCTGACTTTTCCAGCCACGTGATTCCAGGATGTTGTGTGCAGTGCACACGGGGAGGGCACAGCACGCAGCTAAATCTTTGCCAGGGATGTGGAGCCTCTTACGAAGGAATGTGGGCACAGTTGTCTGCCCAGGGCTTATGTGCACAGTGGTGTGAATGACAAGTAGGTTGTGGCCAGCAAAGAGGCTTGGTTAGGTCGCCTTTTGTTCTCTGCCCGTAATTTAGACAACAAAGGCTATGCTCTGACACTCCCTAGCCTTGGGAGCTTGAATATGTCATGAAGGCACTTTTGAGCCTCTGGTTTCTGGGGTTTAATACAGGGATGTTAATGCCAGGTGTGCTTGCTTCACTGGGTTGCCAGGAGCATGTGAGATTAACATCCGTAAGAGCCATGTCCACTGTAAAGCACGCTGCATTGTAATGTACTATTATGATGTCACTCATCCAAGGCCTACAAATTGGTGACTTCTTGCTTCGGAGGTGACCATGAGCTATTTTCAAAGTATCCATATCTCTTTGGCTAGCAGGAAGGGCACCTGTAGAAAAATCAGGAAATGAGTTCCTTGCTGATCCTAGTTCTCCATGCTCAGGGTGGGCTTTGATTGCTCTTAGGTAGTACAGTTACAGTTACCTTCAGGGGTATGTGAGCACAGATTTGACCCTCCATCCAAACACTCATAGATTTCCCCTGCCTAGCCACGGTTTTTTCCAGAACACCTTGGAATGGCTTGGGTGTTTAGGCAGCAACTGTCTGTGAGTGGAGCCTGGAACGGTTTCCAGGAGGGAAGGTAACCAGCCCTGAGCTCTTCAAGCCTCCAGGTGCTGTCTAGGTCTTTTACTACCTCCCCCCCCCCTCCATTGTGATACTGGTGACTCACTTGTGTGCTAGGAGCTTTAAGCCTGTCCTGGTGTTAAGGCTTGAATGTGAAAATGACCCCCAGAGACTTAGGTGTTTGGACCTTTGGTCCCCAGCTAATGCATGGCACTGTTTTGGAAGGTTGTGGAACCTCTGGGACGCGGGGCCTGGCTGCTGAATCCAGGCCAGGGGCAAGCTGTGAGAGGTTTTACCCACCTCCAGTTCTAGTCCGGCTTTCTGCTTCCGTGTCTCTGTGTGTTTAAGACTAAGCTGGTTTTGAACTCACCGTGTAGCTGAGAATGACCCAGCGCTTCTGATCCACCGAGCTCTACCTCCAGAGTACTGCGGTTAGCGGCATGTACCACCATGCACAGTTTTCTGTGGTTCGGGAGACAGACACAGAACTTTGCCCACACTGGGCAGGCACCCTACCAACTGAGCTGCATCCTCAGCTCTGACTGCTCTGCTTCTCACACTTCCACCAACATAGACCAAGAAGGTCCGCCTTCCTAGGGGCCTCTTCTCCCTGCCTTCCTGACACGATAAACTGACGTCTCCCAAAACCGTGAGCTGAGATAAACCTTTCCTCCCAGAAGCAGTTTCTGACAGACATTTTGCCACAGTGACAGGCTAGTGACAAAAGCCAGCCAGGTCTCCATGATGTCCCTTCTGGGGTCTGGGGAAGTAACACATCATCCCTGTCACACCCAACAACGGATTTGGGGACATTTCAAGAGGAGAGGGTGTCTGAGATTGCTGTTTAATAATCACAGGATGCAGAATGGGGCAGAGGTCAAGAGAAGGCTTGAGTCTTCTCTCTTTATGTTCCTCAATGGCTTTGTTGGTTTCCTAACCTCTTCAGGAAGCTCATGGACAAATTACCCCCCTGCTACTTGCTCCACTCATCATTGGAGGAGGGTGTGACACGTTGGGGTGGTCACAAATGCCTTTAAGCTTAAATAATGGGAATCCCTGAAGTTCAGTATAATATAAGAAGGGGCCTTGGTAATACCTGCTTGAAGGCTTCGTGTGAGCAGAGGTCAATGTCCACAGCTGAGCGACCACCTAGCTGTTGCTCTAATGTCCCACTGAGCTGAAATCCTCCCCGCCCCCCAATTTCTCTGTGTTTGAGACTCATCCTACTGAGTACTGGGATTATAGGTAGGTGCTACCACACCTGGCACCTGAGCAAAGTCTCTCTCTCTCTCTCTCTCTCTCTCTCTC